CTTTCAGGTATTCTAGGTCTTTTACATTTCAATATACGTTATCTAATCAGCATGTTGATGATATCTACCAAAAATGTCTGATGAGGTTTTAATTGGATTTTTGACTAAGTCTATCAATCAGATTGTGGGCACTCAAGCAGCATTATCAGAATCACCTGGGAACATGCAATGATAAAAATATTCAGGCCCTACACCAGACCTGGTTGATCCAAAACTCTGAGGCTGGGGTCCCAGTAATCTGTGTTTTAACAAACCTCTCAGGTGATTTTTAACTGCAATAAAGTAGAATTACTGCTATGGATGAATTTAGGGAGAATGGACACCTTAGACATACTGCATATTCTAGTCCACAAAAAAATACTTCTCTCCATTAACTTAGGTCTTCATTAATTTCTCTCACCAACATTCTATAATCTGAAATGTATAGATCTTGCACATATTTTACTTAACTTACCACAAAGTATTTCTGGTTTTTAAACATTATTGCAGATGGCATTCCAATGGTAACTGGCTAAACTTTAGCCATAGTGTACAAGTGATATGACAGAAAGTATATTTGGGATTGGTATTCAGTAAGAGATTTATTTTGCTTCTTTAATGCTAGAGGAATAGATAAAGAGAACACGAGAGAGCGAGGGAGACAGAGACACAAGCATCCCTAATAGGGTATTCATGTTATGATTGCAGGCAGCCTCCACCACAGACATGCATGTGCAAACATGATGTGCTCGGGAGGTCCCAAACATTAACCTCAAGACTTTTACATGAGAGGTCTGATTGTGTCACCACCGTGCCCCCACTTGGTCTGACTAACAGATTCTTAAAAAGAGATCTCAAATGATCAGGAGAATTTTGAAAACACACCACCTTGAATAGGTGTACAAAATTAGGAGGCTGTTTCCAATGAATAGATATAGGTAACATGTATAGACAATCACTAATAACACAAAATAGAGACAACCAGACACAATGTCCTCTTATAATGTTATCAAACACTTTCTATAGTCTTGACAAAAAGATCAAATATGAGTATCTAGCTTCTGGATCAAGCTATCAACTTGGAAGAAAGAGCAGAGAGGAACATGATGACATGCCTCAAGAGCATTAAGATCAGCAAAATCTAGACTGTGGCAAACTCTACAGGTCAAGTGCTATTTCAATAGGTAAATTCATAAGGAAATAAAACGGATGGATGAGGAAACTAGAGATGGAAGAAATTTTTTAAAATATGAAGTTTCTACAAATTGGACAAGTCTAAATAATAATGACTATTTGGGCAACAAAAAATAGTTAAAATGTGAGGAAATGATTAATAAAACAAGTCAGGTTCAGAGTTGCTTTTGGAGGAGAAAAGACGTGATTGGGATGGAGCACATGGTTCTGGAATGGCTGACAAAGTTCTGTTTCTTGACTTGGATAGAATTGGTCTTCTAATAATTCATTAGCTTCTTTCTTTCTTTCTTTTTTTAGAGAGATTTTTGCTATAGGGCACATGTGCTCGCCAGAGAGATAAAAGCAAGAAATCACCTCGGGGGTGTTTGTGTGTGTGTGTGTGTGTGTGTGTGTGTGTGTGTGTGTGGACATGCTGCAATCCCTTTTCCTCCATTCTTCTCTTAGGATCTTGGGCACATGTGCACACGCATCTGGCATGAGTTTTAAGCCACCCAGTCTGGGACTTGAACTGCAGTCGACAACGTGGGAGTCCAGCAATAACCATTATGTCATCTGCTGGTCCCTAGATTTTTTGTTTCATCATCAGGGCTTTTTTTATACATGTCCTATTATACAATAAAAATTATTTCTTTCTCTTAATATGACATATCCAGAATCTGGGATTGAAGGATTTAAATACTATAGTGATAGAATAGTGTTTGGTGACAAGAACTGAGGTGCGGCTATAGCCACACTAAAGTGTGGTTGTTCACTGGAGGTAGTGGTACTGCGCGGGTAAGACCTGGGAACCATGGGAGACTATAAACCAGAATATACTCTCAATCATCAATGTAGGAGATGGCCTGGGTGTGGACAAAGATGAAATATACCTGGATTATGAAGGCCCCACTATCCTAGACCCACATTATGGAAGAATATTTTGTTGAGAAAACAGGAACAGTTGAATCTACTTTCCTACTGTGGATTGTGGGAAAGTAAACACAACTCACTTCAAGGAAAGAAGGGACTCACTATCTTTCTTTTTTAAATTTTGCTAGAGAATGTGTGTACTCGCAGTACAGTCAGGGAGAGAGAGAGAGGGAAACTGAAAAAGCACTCCCCACAGGGGATAGCTGTGCAATCTCTTCTTCTCTATTTCTCCTTTCAGAATTTTGGACACACATGCACATGACCTGGAATGTTTTCCAGGTTAAATGAAGACAGCTGCAAGAGTCAGGCCTCAGGTAACCCCCTGCAGATTTCAGACAATTCCAGCACCTCTAGCATTTCAAAAAACCTCTAGCCTGAAGAGTAAGATCAAATCATGCCATCTATGATGGACATTCTAGTCATCTTGATTGTCCAAAAGAAGCCTTCTTGTGTCACCTCGAACCTAAAGCACTATTTATCATATCGTTCTTCACACTTCTCAGCATCCTCCCCAGGTTCCACACATTTCCCTTCCTCCTAGCCCTTCCATTGTGTTTAAAGAATCTGTTTCTTTAAACCCCTAGTTCTGGGACTCGAACTGCACAGTTGGCCATATGAGATCCAGCCACCTTAACCACCATGCCACCAGCTGCCCCAAGGATTCACTGTCTTTTAAACACAGAGAGATTTCAGTGAAGGGCAATTTTCTAACCAAGAAACAGATTCTTTAAACACAATGGAAGGGCTAGGAGGAAGGGAAATGTGTGGAACCTGGGGAGGGTACTGAAGGTGTGAAGAACGATATGATAAATAGTGCCTTAGGTTCGAGGTGACACAAGAAGGCTTCTTTTGGACAATCAAGAATGACTAGAATGTCCACCATAGACTGCATGATTTGACTTTACTCTTCAGGCTAGAGGTTTTTTGAGATGCTAGAGGTGCTGGAATTATCTGAAATCTGCAGGGGGTGATGCCTGAGGCCTGACTATTGCAGTTGTTTTCATTTAATCACTTTGCATATCAATGTTTCAATTGCAAAAGGCTTTGAAAGTTTCAGAGGATGCACCCTTCTCTCTGAGAACAGTGGCATTCTTCTAGTCAAGAGAAGGAATCAAAAGGGATTCTTGATCAATCCTACCACTACAAACCACTTGGATCACTTGACTTTCTATTATCCTCCTAAACTTTTATTAAAAAGTCTGCTGATGTTGGAAGGAAGGATTTGAAAAAAAGTAGGCCAAAAGCAAAGCAAAGGCAATAATACAAACTTAGAAATGGGCCAAGAAATGTGCTCAATCAAACCCTGTCCAGATGAAAACTGACAGGTTCAATATAGTAGGAACAGAGCTGGTGAAGACAGGTATGCCGACTGTGCCATCATGATTTTACTTGTGAGTACCCCACCTCTCGTAAAGTGTGAACTGAGTGTGGGAGGCAATTTATGTTGTCATCAGGGTGTGTAGTGGTGCAGGAATAGGGTAGAGAAAAGAGGAGGGATGTCCTGAGTAGCAGAATAAAGGGAATCTTTCTAGATAAAGCAAACGAACAAAATACAAGGGCAACATATTATTGCATTTGGAGGCTCTTCCTTATAAAGGACATTTATTTCTTACAAAATAATTTTAGAACTCTTTTTTGTTTTCAAGAGACTGGGTCTCACCATGTTGCCTGGACTAGCCTCCAAGCTAGTGATCCTCTTGCCTCAGCCTTCTGAGTAACTGGGATTACAGGTATAAGTCACCACGGCCAGTTCAACAAAATCTACTGGAATCTTTTTTTTTTTTTTAAGGCTCTCACCATATTACAGTTTTCTTCTCTAAACCTCCCCAAGTCACTAAGATTGCAAGTATACACCATTGCACATGGCCTTCAGGTTGAATTGGGAATTGAACCCAGACTTCCTACGTAGTTCCAGCCTATGAAGTGCAGTATCTTATCAGTATATCACTTTGGCTGAAGATTTTTAAACTCTTTATGTTATTATTTTAAAACAAAATTTACAAAATGACTATTTTCTATGCACATATTCTATAGCATTTCTACACTTTTAACTCTGTTTACCACCAAAACTATAAGTCTTTAAAGTTTAAAATAAAAATTAAACTCGACTGTTACTGAATGTTACATTACTTGCTAATTGTATATTTTAAAATTCCTCTGGATATTTCATGGATTCAATATAAAAATTTAAGGGCAATATAAGAGCATGAGGACCAAGGGATTCAGTGTTTCTCAAACTCTTCCACCAAGCATGAGTATGTATCAGAGAACTCCCAAGGGTCAGAGGAAATGACCTGATATAAGCTGCTATATAGCCAAACTTTCAAGAAAGTGTCTTTTGGGAACCAGCAGTTAGCGTAATGGCTATGTCGCTGGACTCCCACGTAGTTGACCGCGGTTCGTGTCCCGGACCCGGTGGCTTAAAACTCACGCCAGGCGCGTGTGCGTGCGTGCCCAAGATCCCGAGAGGAGAATGGAGGAGAAGGGATTGCGGCGTGACCATCCCCCCTGGGGGGTGATTTCTCGCTTTCTGTCTCTATGTCTCTCTCTGTCTGTCTGGCGAGCGCACGCACCCTACAGTGAAAATCTCTCCAAAAAAAAAAAAAGTGTCTTTTGTTTGAAATTTTTCCCATTTCATTTTTAAATTTTCTATGAATTGTTATATCCCACATGCTCATTAATTTCACCATGTTATTTTATTAGCAATATACAATATTAACAATACATATTTCACTAGTACATGTTATTTTATTATAAAAATGTTTGAAATGATTTTCTGTGGAGTAAAATAACACTTTAGGAAAATTCATCAAACTTTTTTCTGAGGCTTCATGTATCCTAGGAAATAAAAACTCCTAATTGAGAAGCACAGCATTACACACATGTGGTGTTTGAATATTGTCTTTACACCATCTTACCTCCATAGTAGGTGGAGTCTTTCTTGTTCTTCTAATCCAAGCTAGAAAGAAAAATAACATTTAAATGTCAGTTTTTCATAATTTGCACACATATTTTAGACATTTCTGCATGAAACAAAAATTTTTGGACCCCCTACGATATATTGTTTTAGGTACTGGAGATGAAGCAAGGAATCAAGCAGATGAAGTCTCTTCTCTCCTACAGTATATACTCTATAAAAGGGAGCACACCCAGTAAACCCACAAACATGATGTCTGGTGGTGGCTTCTGTCATGAAAAAAATACAGCAGTATAGAGAAGATAAAGGGGATGGTTTCAAGTCTTTAAAATAATTCTTTCTATCTCTCTCTGATGAGTGAATGTGCCTTCTGGCAAAACAAGAAAAAAAAATCATTCCTCATAACTGTCTGAGTTCAATTTAGTGTAATTATGGGCATATAGGCCAAATCAAAATACTGCAAACTTTACGGTAGTATCAAAATAACATTATTCTGGTAACCTGCATTAGCTATTGTTCAATTTATAAAGGAAGGAAGGAATTATAAAGGAAGGAAAGGTCTTCATTCATGGAGATTTCCCTTCTGGTCTGTTCCAGCAAGGAACTACCTTCTATGGTTGGTGAATGTCATCAGGCTTTAGCTCTGACACTTGGGGAAAAAAGTACAGAGAGAGAGAGAGAGAGAGAGAGCGAGCAACAGCGTCCGTATTTGGTATGTGCCTGATAGGCACTGGGCACTCTATTAGGTGCTTTACTGAAATAGGAAAGAAGTGGGGCAATTGCATCTAGGGAAGTCAACAGAATCACAGAATACTGCAGGCCTTATGAGAGTAAGTTCTACAGTCAGATTATTTTCTTTTAAGTTTATTTCTTCTATGAGTGAGATTGAGAGAAAAATAGGCACCTTCAACAAGGGCCTTATGCTGCAATCTATCCCTAGCTTCAGCCAGACTCTGACCATAGCCACATGCACTGTGTGTTCAAGGAGATCACCACATACAAACCCAGAACCTTCCCATGTGGGTCAGCTTTGCAAAGTACTGCATGCTATATTACTCACCAATGTCTAATCCCTAGAGTTGAATTTTCTGGATTCAAATCGCAGCTTTATCACTTACTAGCTATACATTACTTGGTACAGGTTATTTAAAAATATGTGGGGGCCAGCAGGTGGTGTTATGGATAAGGCATTGGACTCCCACATGACCAACCATGGTTCAAGCCCTGGACCTGGAGGCTTGAAAATCATGACGGGCATGTGTGCATGGGTGCCCCAAATTCCCAGAGCAAATGGAGAAAAGATTTCAGTGTGGTCATCCCTTCTAATTTCTCACTTCCCCTCTCTCTCTCTCTCTCTCTGGTGAGTGCATGAGCCCTATGACAAAAACCTAATAAAAGAGAAAAGAAATAAAAATAACTGTGTCAGAAAATAAGAATTATTAATCCATTTTTCAAGTTGGGAAACTGAGGCTCACAGAGATTAAGCAACTCGCATGAGGCCACATGATGAGTGAGTAGAACACTGATAATCAACTGGGCTGAACTGGCTCTATGGTCTGAGGTCTGTCCATTCACCACCAGCTACTCTCTTTTCTGACCAGTTCCACCAAGCCTGCCTGTCACCTCAGTAGTAAACACAGGGCTTCATGACAATCCTGGCACTGAGTGACTGGAGTGGAAACAAACAGCCAATTGTGGGCCTGGGATTAGTCATTTCCCCCCGCTCTGTTCTCTCATGCACTGATCCCGCACACGTATCTCCGGTATAATCTCAGTGTTCTGGATTCTCTTCTGAACCTCTCCCCATTATTCCTTTCTGCATTCTTGTTCTCACTAGCTTCCACTCCCAGTTGGTCTGTTTCTACTCTAAACTCGCACAGATTTTATACCCCCTGTTAGGCTGTAAGATTGTCAAGAGCAGGACGTACCTGAGGAACATTTATTTTTCCATCCCTACATGTCTTGAAAGATTAGGTACTTAACACAATTGTTGAATGAATACTTGTACTAGAAAGATAACCATTTTAACAGACATATTAGATATACCCAGTTGGTCTGTTTCTACTCTAAACTCGCACAGATTTTATACCCCCTGTTAGGCTGTAAGATTGTCAAGAGCAGGACGTACCTGAGGAACATTTATTTTTCCATCCCTACATGTCTTGAAAGATTAGGTACTTAACACAATTGTTGAATGAATACTTGTACTAGAAAGATAACCATTTTAACAGACCTATTAGATATACAGGGAGAAAAAAAATAGAGGCAAGACATTTGTGGGACATAGAAATAGTTTATTGCCTGTTGATGATAATGTGTATAGAATTCTTAACTGGACTGATGGACTAGTCTGAAGTGTACTTCATGTTGGGTAAATTCTCTTTACAAGCCAGATGATGCAGAGTTATTGAAGGTTTAAATAAATAAATAAATAAATATGAAAAAAAAAAAAACCACTAAAAATAAAAAAAGAAATACCAAAATTTCTCTGTGGAGTCAAGGAAAGTATGATTTATAGACTTTAAAAATATATTTAAGTTTGTTTGTTTGTTTGTTTGTTTGTTTATTTATTTATTTTAATTTGACTAGAGAAGGACAGAATGAGAGAGAGAGGGAAAGTGAGGAAGCAAGCTGCCAGGTCCTGGACTCGAACCATTTGTCAGCCATGTGAGAGTCCAGCACCCTTAATCACCACGCCTCCTGCTGGCCCCAAGACTTTTTCAACTCCCTTTTAAATAGTCAAAATAGAAGTTACTTATCTATACTTATGGTCTTTTTTCCTAGAAAAGAGACTTCTTTTAAAACAGTTTGACACGAGCCACATATCTCTAAAAGGTTTTTAAGCAATGTCCAGTTTTAAGTTAGATAAGATAGTTGTTCTACTTTAAAATAGGTAGTTAATTCAGAAAAATCAACTGCTAGGGCAGACATCAGCAAACTACATCCTGATAGTCAAATTCAAATATTGCTTGTTTTCACATTTTTTTAATGGCTGAAAAAAATCAAACAAGCATTTTATAACAGATGAAAATGATATGGGATTTAAAGTGCTAGTGCTCACAAATAAGATTTTATTGGAAAACAGTTATATCCCTTTGGTTTGTTTATCTATGACAATCTTTGTGCTACAAGAACAGTTGAGTAGTTTTGTTTTTTGGGGGAGGAGAGGCTTTTGCTGTAGGGCACGTGCACTTGCCAGAAAGACAGAGAGAGACAGAGAGACAGAAAGCAAGAAATCACCCCCTAGAGGGGATAGCCACACAGCACTCCCATTCTCCTTTCGGGATCTTGGGCACACACGCACACGTACCCGGTGTGAATTTAAGCCACCAGAGGTCCAGGACTCGAACCGTGGTCGACTACATGGGAGTTCAGTGACACAGTCATTAGGCCAACTGTTGGTCCTAGTTGAGTAATTTTAATAGACCGGGTAGTCTATAAGTCCAAAATATTCATCATCTGGCCTTTTAAAGAAAATATTTGTCAACTCCTATGCTAGGTCTACCATTAAGCATGACCTCTTTACCAACAACAGTATATGTTGATGTAAAAACATGTCATGTTTGGGCCAGCAGGTGGCATAGTGGTTAAGGCACTGAACTCCCACACGGTTGACCACAGTTCATGTCCTCAACCTGGCAGCTTGAAAAATCATGCTGGGTGTCTGTGTATGCATGTTCAAAATCACAGGATGTGAATGGAGGAGAGGGGATTGTGGCATGTCTATTTTCCCCAGGGGGTGATTTCTCATTTTCTCTCTGTCTCTCTCTAGTGAGTACACATGCCCTATGGCAAAAACCTTCAAAAAAAAGGGGGCATACTATGGAAAATAAAGGTCATTATTAATTACACTTGTTACTAATGATTACCATGTATTGTAGAGTTTATGAAGACAGCTCATGCTGAAAAATGTATAATTGCATAATACACACTATCATTAAAAATTTTCAACATAACAATTTATTTTATTAATGAGTCTATAAAACAGCATTCTCAGTTCTCCTATAAGGTTGTAATAATAATAAAACCTTCATTAGAATCTAAATCACTTAAAAAAATCCAAGGTGGGGAACCAGCAGTTAGCGTAATGGCTGTCGCTGGACTCCCACGTAGTTGACCGCGGTTCATGTCCCGGACCCGGTGGCTTAAAACTCACGCCGGACGTGTGTGCGTGCATGCCCAAGATCCCGAGAGGAGAATGGAGGAGAAGGGATTGCGGCGTGACCATCCCCCCTGGGGGGTGATTTCTCGCTTTCTGTCTCTATGTCTCTCTCTGTCTGTCTGGCGAGCGCACGCGCCCTACAGTGAAAATCTCTCTCAAAAAAAAAAAAAATCCAAGGTGGATAAAGAGATTGGGGTATCTCTAATATGTACTTTCTAAAGCTTACTTTTTTAAAAATAAGTTTATAAAATTCATTTATTGATATAAGAATGCAACAGAACTGAGATACTGAGTATATTAAATATCACCTAGTCTTCTGATTGTTATGGGACACAATTCTCTAAGGGAAGACATGCGGATTTCCTTTAGCTTCATGTTAAATGATTATTTACAGAATCTTTGTTTTATATAGCTATAGAAATGCAGTTGCTGAAATAAATTTGTATATTTATAATTCTACAATAACCAGAAACACGAAATGTCTGTTTCTATCACTACTGCTTGTTTTGCATCCAGTCAAGTTTACACTGTGTTCAATATAATCACTCATTTATATAATAATATCCACTTTCCCAACTACTACATGGAAGAAAGGAAATATACTGCTTAAAGTTGACAAAGGTTAGGAGGAGAAAGGAATAGAAATCATTAATATCATATTATTATCATGTTTTAAACCTCAAAACAATCTGAAACTGAACCTCTATCCAATTATAAATTGATTCTGCAATTGTTAATTACAGTTGTATTGAAGATTCTGCCTTAGTCCTCATTATAATGCAACCATTGTTTGAAGAGAATTTAGCAAGATAACTGGACAGTTTATACCTTAAAATCCTAGCATTCTTTCATCAATGTTCATTTGCATTTTCATTAGTAT